TGCTATAAAAATATAAAAGAAATACTATTCTAAGTTGAGCTTAAAAGTATGGAAGAATGGATGGAAAATAGTGAGGAAAAAGTGTGCTATTTATAGGTGTTTTTCAACACCTTGGGCCGGGTACCTGACCGAGTCATGTGCCCACCCGACCGGGTGCATGTCAAGATCAGATAATCTTCCACGTTCTTGTGTTTCAGCACGTTAAAATGTCCCGGGTCAAATCCGACCCGACCGGGTGAAATAACTCACCCGACCGGGTGATGTAATTTCCTGAGCAGTTTCGCATTTCAAGTCTCACCCGACCGGGTGCAATGCCTCACCCGACCGGGTGATTGTCCTGGGCAGCCAATAATCATTTTTCTTCACTTCAAAGTCTTCCTTTCCAACACCATAAATCCTAACTCTACTTTACAACTTACAAATGAGAACTAAAATACAATTAAAACTAAAATCACACAAATGTTTACAAACTAAATAAAATGGTAAACAATCCACACAAATCAAACATAAAAAGATGCATTTATGCACTACTAATTAGTGCAAATCAAAAACCTCCAGGTTTTCAAGCTCAGGACACCTCGTTTGTTTGCATGCTACATAAATCATTATATGGCCTAAAACAAGCTCCAAGGGCCTGGTTTCACAAACTTACTTCTGTTTTGTATAATGCCGGTTTCAAATAAAGCAAAAGTGATCCCTCATTACTCATCTATCTCACTTCTGGAATACAAATCTATATCTTAATCTATGTGGATGATATCTTTGTCATAGGAAACAACCCTACTGTGATTAATTAGATCATTCATAAACTTGACTCTTCTTTCTCTCTTAAACATCTGGGAGATATAGATTTCTTTTTGGGTATTGGAGTCAGAAAACTTTCTAATGGCTGTCTTCATCTATCCCAGGCAAAATATATCAGAGATCTTCTACATAAAGTTGGGATGACAGATTCCAAGGGTGTCAAAACACCTATGGTAAGTAATTGCAAACTAACCAATGAAGGGACTGATTACCTTCTTGATCCTTTTCACTACAAATCTGTGGTTGGAACTCTGCAGTATGCCACTCTCATTAGACCTGAACTCAGCTATGCTGTAAACAAAGTTTGCAAGAGCATTGGTAAGCTGTGAAACATATACTAAGGTATTTATCTGGCACCATTACTCCTGGACTGCTCATCAAACCTCTACCATTATCTCATACTCCTCTACCTATCTCTGCCTTTTGTGATGCTGATTGGGCATCAGACCCTATTGATAGAAAATCTACCTCTGGATCATGTATCTTCTTAGGCCCCAATATAATTTCTTGGTGGTGCAGAAAACAACTAAGTGTGACAAAATCCTCAGCAGAAGCTGAATATAGAAGTCTAGAAGATACGACATCAGAAGTCTTGTGGATCCAATTCTTGCTCAAAGAACTTCAAGCTCCATTCTCCACTCCCAGAATCTACTGTGACAATCTCGGCACAGTCGAGCTTGCACACAACCCTGTACTCCATTCCAGAATCAAGCATATGGAAATTGATCTTTTCTTTGTGCGAGAGAAAGTTACACTCAAGCAACTTGAAGTCTTTCACATTCCAGCTCCCCAACAAGTTGCAGATGTGTTGACCAAGCCTCTATTTGCTTCTACTTTTCTTGATTTTAAAAACAAACTCAGTGTGATTGATTTTTCAAAACAATCACACTCAGTTTGAGGGGGAAATGTTAGCTGCAATAAATAAATACTCTTGTATTGTTACAGTTAGTTAGGCTTCGGTTAGCCCTTACAGTTAGTTGTTTAACTACTGAGTAGGATAAATACTCTGCAATATCTTTTTCTTAATATGATGATTCAATTTCAGATTCATTTTCTGTTTAGTTTCTAATACTTATCATCATCAATTTCCATAGATGGATAATCCGCAACCCATTGGAAAAACTCGCAATCTGCTTTCTAAAAACCCACAAAATGCATACATAATTTTATTCAACATATTCTGACATTATTTCTAAATCAATGCATTGTGTGGCAATGTATATTTTAAAATTTTCAGTTGGCCGTAAATTTCTAAATCATTAAGAATTTCTAAATCTTTAATTTCCAAACGAGGCAAAATACATAAATCACAAATTGGCACATTTTATTCATTCATAATTTCATTCAGTCAATTCATACATAATTGGAATTGAGCAGGTAAACGCACTATCACCATAACTATCATCCAAAGAAATGCATAAATCGGTCCAACTTACCGACTATAAGGCACAACCATAAAACCTTCGATCATGGTTTGCCCTATATTTTGCTGTCCTAGGTTTCGAAATCACCTTGTGGTGGCATTTAACTGAGCCATCAATTTGGTTTTCACCCCTCCCTCCCCGACACAATGACTGAGATGTTGAACTCATTGATTTAGCGACTCCTCTGGCAAAATATGTAATTTATGTTTGCAACTCGCGAAAAAGATAGATAAGCCTACGCGCACCAGAGAAGAAGATAAAGAGATGATAAATGGGAGGTAGGTGAACTAAATATACATGTGCGTATCACGTGAGTGTATTATGACTGGCCCATCAAATAAGTAATACTCCCTCCGTCCCCTTTTAAATGTCCCGTTTTACCATATTGGGATGTCCCTATTTAATTATCCCATACCTTATTTGGTAAACTTTGTGTGACTCAAAATCATTCTTACTTTATTCTTACTTTATCAATTAATATCAACCACACAAACTCATTTTTCTTAAAACTCGTGTCACCATCTCCCGTCCCATTTAAAAGGGGACGGAGGGAGTACCTCTTAAAACTCTCAAAAACATGTCCATTACAACCAAACCTCACAATAATAGATGGACTCCGCCTCCCAATGGGCTATTGACTTTAAATATCTCACATTACTTCTTAAAGTCTCGATCACAATGATGGTTTCCCTATTCGTAATCAGTAATCACCATTCTATCAACATCTTTGCAAGTTCTGCCCAAGTTGTCATGTCCGGGACTGAACTTGATGGTTCCAAAGTTGGCAAAACTAAAATTTCAAGGAAATCTCTACTGGAAGCATATTTACACTATCGCGAGAATAAGGAAACTCATATAAGATGTCAAACTTGAACTTAGGCTGATTGATAGGTCTATTAATAATGCAACCAAGCACTTACGTGAAGATTGTAACCCTCACCCGGTCTGACTTGTAAACATTTTCAAATTTAATGTTACAAGTTTTCCCTTATGTACTTAAGGCAAGGTCTTCTCTTTTATATATTCAATAAATTCATTTTTCTTAAATAAAGAATAGACAACTCTTCACCTCCCATCTATTCTTTACTTTAATTCTCAATACCCAAACTTTATAAAGCAACATTTTGTTGTGGTCTGTGGATCAACCCTTTATTTATCACTAAAATCGACACTTATATACTTACAAGCTAAGCCCAATCAGTAAACACTTTCAAATGCAAAAATTAATTAGTGAAGAGAAATAATAAAGACATTTTACTCATGACAATTACACATAATATTTTTTTCCCACACAATTACACACAATATAGAAAACTTAAAAACGGAATGTTGACACTTAGTATGGGGAAATGACATGATTATAGGAAAAACATAAAATAAAAATCATTGCTCTTATAAATGCATGTTTTATAAATGTAGAAATGCCAGACTTGGTTTACTATAGTATGGATTAACTTGTTCCACTGGACCCAGAACCAACATTATTGATCCCAAAATATGAGAAAGGGCCAAGCATGCCACCTCTATCAATAGGAGTTTCCACGATATGAGTCATTGATGCTTGCTTTAGTGTTTGATTGTTTTGAATGCGGAGGGCTTCCAAGCGAAATTTCAGATGCTCTAATTCACACAATTGTAAATCAGAAATAAGAGATCTACATTTTTCAGCTTCACACCAAGCTTGACTTTCTTTCCTTTGATCATGAATTAGAGACTCAAGTTCACCTATCTGGGGAGTTTTTTTGCTTATTCTAGCTCCATGATGGGCATGGAGAATCTCATCAACAACTCTGGCTTGTGGTGTATGCCTTTCACCAAAGTATTTATCGAGGACAACGTGCAAACATGGGTTCCCAAAAGTATAAACTTTATTTGAGGGTGAAAATATCACCAGAGCAATCTCAGCACCAGTGAGGGTACACATTTCACTAGCCTTTTTTATTAAACCTGATCGGCGTTTAGAGAACGTCACTTGACGATAAACTTCATTTTCGATCTTTTTTAGAGGAATCTTTTGACGACCCCTATTAAGCCTCTTATTGGAAGCATTGCTAGACATTTTTAAAACTGTTATAATGTATTTGGCTTGATAAAATAATAAAATCAACTGTGATATACATCATAGATGTTAAAGATTGTATTTATAGCCAACTTGTGGCGTCACGTTGGTATTTTTATGGCATGTTACGTAATGTGGTATAAAATTAATATTGTATTTACGACTTTTCCAAATGGGTTTTGAATACTTTTATGTAGGTAAGATCCAACTATGCTAATATCATAATACCTCTTTACATTTATAGAAAGTAGGTTACAAACCGGAGTAACACAATTAAAAATTTCTCAACTTATTAGATATGGTAAGTACATTTATCATCATCCCTTGGGCGCTTACATATCATCACTTTTTTTATCATTATTTCTTGACCTTTTAAAAAAAAGGATTGAGAGAGATATAAGATCAACTAGTTTAACAATGTAGTGATAGCTATAACAGAAGCTGCGACCATGCCGATATAGTAATAAATTCCGCTAAAATACTGGGTTGAATTCACAGGGAAACGTTGTTTAATTGAAATCCAAAAGTAGAAACATAAAATATGAAAAGAGTAAAGTGCAGGGATTTTGATTTATATTTGTTATGAGAACAATGACTTTAGATAGGTTGGATTTAAAACAATTGATAACAATGACTAATGCTTTGGGAATCACCTAAACATTTTTATTTAGTATTGATTCAAGTTTTTTGCCAACAGTTATGAATACGATGTCGTTAATATTTTCCCAACTCTAGTTAAGGCAGCGGGAGCGTGATTTTCGTTACGTGTAAGTTCCTTTACGGCTTACGGCTTACATTCATCTACCTAAGAACTCTCAGCCTACTTGCTTATTGTTGAACTCAATCTGCAGCTGCTCCGTACTTCGGCCGAAGTAACCTTCTTCTCAAGCTCCCTCAATCGGGAGATCTCTGCTTCTTTTTTCTTCTTATGCACTATCAGAATAAAAACATCCTCGATGGTATAAACACATGATTAGGAAGAGAGGAAAAATGACAAAATATCACCAAGTACAAAATTCGGAACCTACAGACATGATGTTGTCCATCGTTCCGTCGTAAAGACGGACCCCCTTCAGGCGAGTGAAGTTCGCTCCGTCCTCCTTAGGAACAACCTGAGAAACCAAGTCATAAGCATTCAATACTTCATTGAAGAGGCCCCCTTAACGGGAGAACGCGCCACGACCTCAACAAGACCGTCGGACTTTCCTCAACCGCTCCCAACACTGGCAGACGGAACCTCCATGTCCAAAGGAGGAGGCTTCACAGGAGCACCATATGATGACGCAATAGTAAGGTCTTCAATCACAACCACGTTCTGATCGTGATGCGACTCGTCCATCTCCTGAATAACTACGGTTGAATCCTGGCTCTTCTTCGGCCTCTTGGTGAACTTTGGGGGTTGCAAACCAACCTCGGTTAAAGTTTCTTAGCCGTCACCCGTAGCCGGCCTCTTCTTCTTTTTTGCAACAGGAGGGTTCTTAGCGGAGTCATATCTGGTCTGGCCGCCATGGCCGAAGGCTGCGTACACCCCTCAACGCCACTGACAGCCTCCAGCTCGGCCTGCACCTTCTTAGCTGCTTGAGCCATAAACGACAAACAATTCATCTTGAAATCTGCAAGAGACAAACAGCCAAATAAAAAACAAATAAACGAAAGCAACACACAAGACGAAGAACACCCTTTAACCGCGGGGGCCGGTAACCCCCTCAAACGGGCCATCAGCCTCCTCATAAGACCACTCCGTCCACGGGTAGAATCCATCATCTACATCTCCACAATATAATATTTGAAAAAGCCATGGGTTGCCATCTTATACTCAGTGATATAGTCTTTCACGCTCCTCCCACCCCATCCTCTCAGGAATCGCTCAACCTGGTCCTCGATCGTTGCATTCGTCATGGGAGAATGAAGGTTAAAGATCCTGAAGTGGCCGATGGACGGAAAGAACACGGTCCCTCCAAGGGTCACTGACACAAACTTGGCTTTCAAGCCATGAATAGATGTTGGCAAATCCAAAAATTACCTTCTCCCCCGTTTGTTGGAGGTTGGCGTAGCTGGCAAAGTTCTTGTGGCTCCCTCAGCCGATCTGATACAGGTTCATGAAGAGGTTTATCATCAGCCTGAACCCCAACTCACTGCATCAGATCAAAAAATTGACGATCAACGAATAGCTATTCGGCGTTGACAAGGCCGGTGGGAGACCTACTTTGTTAAGATACTCAATAATGAAGGGATGAAGAGGAAAGCGTAACCCGGCCCCTTCGTGAAGCTCATGTGGAATACACCAAAATACCCCAGGGACGGTGAAAGAACGTGGTCTGTCGTCTTTGGTTCCCTAACCCTGCCATACGTGCCGACATACATATGCTCAACATACCATTATGTTGGGTCCCTATTTCTACACTAGAAATATATGGAAATGGAGCTCAAAATGGGTGAATGAAGCCTTTCATTGATGAAGAAGAAGTTTACAGAATGATAAGGAAGCTTGGAAGCTTTAGCGTAAAACTTCTGTGGGTATTTCTCTTCTACGCGCAATTGGAATTTTCACTAAAAGGCCTTCCTACTCCATCCCCATAAAGGCATATTTATAGTCTTGGGAATGGGTAGGTCACAATGATTGAGCCCTTAAATCAAGGAAGCCTATATTCAACTTTTGCACACTATAGTTAATTTAGGCTATTCTACCAATTATTAATTGCAACAAGAGGCCTATAATTATAACATTGATCACAACATAAAATATCTCTAACATATTCGCTCACCAAACTCTCTGGCCAAATGATGTACAGATTGCTGAGATCTAGTCTCGATAACCTTGCGGTTAGACCTTGTTGCAAACAAGACCTACATCTTCTCTTCCTAGTCACCGACGAATGGTACCACTAATGTTTGTATTTATTTTTAAGATAAAGTAAAATCTTATTGAAAAAATGTCACTTATTAAACTTTGTACGTGGATTATCATTTATGTTCACCTTTTGTGTTATTTCAAGTGTTTTTTTTATTACAAGTGCTTTATTTTGTAATATGCACATTTATTGTTTTTTATTTGATATTTTTCACCTTAAGTTGTATCGATCAGGTGTCAAATCCTCGATGTATGTAATTACTTTTTAGTTTGGAAAAATGAAATAGAAAATAACAAGAATTTGGGAAACATGATTTCGCATTTGGAAAGTAGAATTGGAAAATGGAAACAAGAAACTAGAGGATGGAAAACAGAAAAAGAAAATAGAAAGCTGGAGAAATATGTAAACGCGTTATTGGAGTGAATTGAAAAAACATATTCGAATTTAATTATGTTTTTGAACAAAGAAAATAGAATTAATTATGTTTTTGAACAAAGAAATAACTAATCACTCTGCATAAGTAACATCACAAGACTCACGATAGTGTATTTTAGAGTGACAAATAAATTGCAGATGACGAGACTCTGAAAACTAGTCACTAAATATGTCATTTTTGGAAAAAATTAAAATAAATCATATTTTTTTATATTTAATTTAGTAATATTTATAAAAAAAGATCTTAAAGGCATCCACATCTCCGGCTAATTCAATGCCTAAAGCTACTTGCAACCCATAAGTGAATAACCCAATTTTAACCTATTCACTCAAATAAACACTGCACTGCAACCCATGTATTTGGGGGTTCCAAGTAGGTGGATGGCACCCATGACCGGTGGTAATTGGTAGGCATATTGACGATAATTGATGCATCAGGCTACTGACGTTGTCCCAGGTGTCAGCCACTTCTTCGGTCCGCAACACTCCGTGGTCCGTAGGTGATAACTTGATATTTTCATTGCCAATTGCAATTTAATAGAGAATAAGCTTGGGTGTCCATATTTTAATACCTATGAATAAAATATTATCCTTACATCGAGATGTTAGACTTTTTAAATCATATTTATTGGTATAAAAAAATATCACAATTGATGTTTTTTTATTGGGATACAACATTTAATTAGAAAACAAAACTGTGTTGGGTGAACATATTGATGGTGCTGGGTTACAGAGAAAAATGATTTCACCAAGTGATCGAATACGTATAAAGTATATTAATTGCGGTAGTTAAGTACGATATATAAATGGCATACCCCTTTTCAATTGAATGTAAGACAGGCCTAAGTTCAGCAGGACCACCAATAATTTAGAAACAAAAATATCCAAAATTCATGTGTTAGAAATCAATCATAATGATCATTCCTAGCTTTTCAGATAGAGTAAACAGCACAGGCACACAACATAGAGATAGTCAGATCACATTACTTCTCATCCATGTACCTTTATAGAATTTGATGCACATCTTGACTGTACTAAGGCTGATTGCAATCCTGGGGTGAAAAGGTTATATTTGAGCTTTTGACCCCAAATATGGCTACAACCCAGCGTATAGCATGGTGCTAAAGTGGCTAGAGAGCACCGGTGGAGTGGATACGTGCTAAGTTATTCACGGAAGAGACAAAAGAATAGCAGCTTGGACGTATGGAAAGGAAAGCATGGTCCCATCCAAATTTATAATCCCAATTTTATTTAAAGGATCATAACTTTTTTATTTGTATTCCAATTTTTACCCCAAAAAGTATATTAAAATTCATAACTTTTTATAATCTTTCATATGAGACCAATATTGGATATATAAAGTTCAAAAAAAAATATGATGTTTCAACTGTTCTAGATTTTTAGATCTAAACTTCTTCTTTAATAGTTTCAAATATTAAAATTAAAATCTCATAGTTAAAATATTTCTTTACAACTTTCTATTATTTTTCTTTAAAAAATAGGTCTAAATTAACCACTAAAAAACTAAAGTCCAAATTTATTAATTTATTTACATCGAAATGTTTGACTTTTCAAATCATAATTATTCACAATAAAAAATTGAAAAAAATCTTGATGTGTAATAATAAAATTAAGGAAATATTTGAAAATAATTTTGCTGTGTGAATATATTGACGGTATTGGGTTGCAGTAAAAATTGAATTGACTGAGTGAATACGTATAAAATGATGATAAATTTGATTTATTGACGGAGATGGGTTGCGGTTAGCCTAAGGAGAGTTGAAGCATATATCATTCTTGAATTTCAGCCATTTTTTTTCTCCAATCAAGCTGCTCCAGTGAAAGAACAATTAAAGAACAAATTATTAACAGATTCCAAGTGATTCTTACAAAAGCAACATGTTCTATCCATGACAATATAGAAAAGGTTATCAGATGTAGCCAGTCTGTTTCTAAGCCCCAACCAAATGATAAATGAAAATTTTGGTAGGATATAGTCCTTCCAAATTTGTTCCATCCAAGGTTTGTTGTGCCCTCTAGTCCTCAAAAGATCATAAACTATTGCAGCCTATAGCTTTCCAAAACGACTGCAAGATGCAAGTTTAGTTATGGTAGCATTCGGACTTTCCAATATAGTGAATACTGACTTTTATTTTCATCAATTTGTTGAATAATGGGGATACACCATAGGGTGGTGTCCAATCCCATATGGAGCTCCTTTAAGGTATACACTATGGATCCATTTGTCCCCAAGTGTATCCTTTTTAGTATGAATATTCCAAAGAGTTTTTGTTGAGAGCATGGCAGAGTTCCATGACTTACAATCATATAAGCCAAGTCCTCCCTCTTCATTTGATCTGCAAATATAAAGTAATTCAATTTCAATAATATATTATTCGTAGTAGAATATGATTGCCTCTAAAAGCTTTCATGAAAAAAATGAGCTGCATCTAAAAAAACATTAGTGTCAAAATACGATATTGCCTCTAAAGGGTTTTTGAGTCACTCTATTGTGATTGCCCCTAATTGTAATATGTGACAATAGAAACTAGTTGCCTCCAATGGCATTTGGAGGTTTGATATTGTGGTTACCTCTAATGGTGTTTTGAGGCAAGTTATTAGGGTTGCCTTTAATTGCATGCCTTTTTGCAACACACATTTGGTTGCCTCTAAATGTCGATTTAGAGGCAACCATCATTTAGCGACGGATTCTTTAGAGGCAAGCAATAAATTGCCCCAAAAAATCATTAGAGGCTACTTTCATGCTTTTAGAGGCAAAAGTGTCCCGCCTCTATAAATCTATTTTATTGTCCACTCAAACAACTTTTGACTTTGGCCCACCCCATAAGAATTGCCTACAATGGGAGGTAATCTTTTCAATGATAGCAACTGGGATAGGGAAGATCTGAATCCAGTAGGATTGGATACCCTCAATCACAGCTGTAACCAGTTCAAGTCTACATGCATAACTTATATTCTTTGTTATCCATTTGAGTGTAAACTTCTCTATTTTTCAATCAAAGGGGAGTATTGGGCCACAGTAACCCCGAGAGGAACAAGAGGCACACCGAGGTATCTCACAGGGAACACACTAGCTGGAATCCAACTAAATTAAGAATATCCTCTCTTTCATTTCAGGCGAAACTTGAATTCAGGTTTTGAAGTTTTCTCATTTAATAACCTTGATAAGTATTCCATACATAGTAGAAACAAAGTAGGGCACATGAGTCGACTTCTATTCTTTATACTACGTACTCCATATAAATTTATCTCATCACCAATGAGACTTTTGTCACCATAGCCAAACAAAACTTCACTATATACTACGTAGTATTCCGTATATATTATCGCATTCTTATTGCAATTTATGTATAAAATGAAAATGTTTGTTGATAAAAGTATTTTCATAAAAATATAGCTTCATGTTACTCCCTCCGTCCCAAAAACAACTTCACAGTTTGACATTCACACAGATTAAGAAAATAAATTTGACTTTACTGTGAAATGCACTATTTTGCACTGTTTTGCATTGTTTAAACACTGTTTGACACTGTTTGGACACTATTTAACACTGTTTGGCACTATTTGACACTGTTTTGATGTAGATAATTTACAAAATAAGGAAAGTATTGAAATGTGAAGTTAATTTTGGGACATCCATTTAAGGAAAGTGGAAAGTTGTTTTTGGGACGGAGGGAGTATTAAAGAATCAAAATCATAGGGCCCGTTTACTAACAGAAATATTTTTCTGTTTTCATTTTCTGTTTTCAAGCCTCCAGTTTTCTGTTTTCATTTTCCAGTTTTCTGTTTTCCAAATCGGAAAACATGTTTACCATATTTTTTCAATTTTTCATTTCATTTTTACCAGACAACATTGACTTAATATTTCGAAAAAGAAATGCACATTCAAGGGGACATTTCAAATAACAAAAAAATAACATAAATGTTCCCCAACACTGAAAGTTCAATAAGTGACATGTTAATCAGAACAACAGTTGTACTTCGACATCTCAAACATTATAATCATCCCATATTGCATTTGCAATATTTTCTCGAATTTCGTGCATTTGTTGTTGTTGAGACATATCAAATTGGAGTGATCCATTTTCACTTGTACTTGCCTCCGTGTTAACTATCATATCATCTTCCTCGTACTCCAAGAACAAATCATCGTTCCTATCTTGCATGCGAATGAAGTTATGCAATGCACAACAAGCTATGGGAATTTGAACTTGTCTTCTCAATGGGTAACCACATGATATGTCTAGAATGGGAAATCTTTCCTTTAGTACTCCGAAACACCTTTCAATCACATTACGCACGGATGAGTGTCGGTAGTTAAATAAAGCTTGCTTATTGCGTATTCGTCCTC